TGAAGTTTTCCTCAAGATTCGAACAGTACACATCCTACTGATATTTCAAAGAGCCCTCAAGACCTGGTTCTTCATCCCAGCCTTTGGGGAAGGTGAATGAAATCCTTTCTCTTTTTTTTTTCTTTTTTGTTCTTTCAGTTTGTCATTTCTGTCATTTTATTCATTTTTTCTTTGTTTTTGGTATTTCTTTGTTTTTAAATGTATTTAATGATCGATAACCATCCAGGGAGTTAGGCAGCGTATGTATGTTATTCTTCGTGTGGTTATTTCTGTGGAGAAATTGATTCTTGTTGGCTGAGATGAAGGGAAAGTTGCAGCCTTGTCATCTTTTGTCCTTAAATTCAGTAGTCGCATGCAACTGCTCATTTTTATGGGGAAAGGAAAGGAAAGGTTCTCCATGATGCACTGGGATACCACACCCCTGCCTTTTTATTCAGATTTAAACTAAGAACTTGTAGAAAACACACTAAGTTTAAAGGAAGAAGGAAGGATGGGGAGAGCAACTGCTTTGGCTGCTGGGCAAGAATCTCTTCTCTCCAGCAGCCAAATGGATATGGTCATAGAGAGGCCAATGGGAAAGGTCAGTGTTGTAGACAGTCAACTCGAGCCCTGCAGATCACTAACTTCACTCAGGCTCCTCCATAATCATAATCTTCACATAGGAAGGCTTGTTCTGCTTTCCCTCAGAAAGCACTACTTTGCTGCTTGATCTGGCTTCGGCCTGTTTTCAACAGCAGGATACCACTACTGAGGTGCAGACTTTACTGTAAAGACATGTCCTTCACAAATGGTGATCTCAACACTATGGCAAGGAAGGGTGCACGAATGATTTTTCTGTAAATCAACCCTGCACCAGTCTGCATAGTCCAGGGATCCCATTTCCTGTTTTAGGTTATGATAATTGGCACAGTTTGAGATATTGTGCAGATCTACTGTCACACATACAGAAACGTCCTTGAAGAAAATATGTGAGAACCCTAGCTCAGGTAGAATGAAGACGAAACTCAATATTGACCTGCGTTGACCCTCTTTAATGTAAAGAGATGGAATAGGAAATGCTGTCAGGCTTTCAAGATTCTGTTATATAGCCATATCAACGGAGCTCCAATATTTCTTGTGATGTTTGTTTCCTGAGCTAGAGTAACTTAAAGGGTTGACAGCTCTCTTCATGGATAATGTTATAGTAGTACAGAATTTTGCACATCCCAATAGAGCTGTATACAGCAATACCTTTAAAAATGTTCAAATTTCTTTGGTAGCAATAGAAAAGCTTCTTTATTAATTGTTTATATATTCATATCCACATTTGTTCAATTAGGGATGTATCATCCCTTCTTTGTAAGCTATGAGAACTATTTTCCTAGAACCAACATAATAAATGGCAGAATTATGTATAATGTAATTTTTGTATTGAACACAATAATAGGGACAGCATATTGATAAATAGAAATATTTGCACATCTCCATTGAGATAAAGTCTGAAATCATAAATCCATAAGTGTTTGTTTTAAAGCTTGAAGGATATGATAGAAAAAATGGTAGATAAAAATAGCTGTTATTTTTAGAAGCCTGAATTCTGGTTTTTAAGCTATTGTTGTTTCAGTCACATATGGATTATAATTTAATTTACTTAATTTATTAATTTAATTAATTAATTAAGTTCTTAATTTACAACCATTTGTTTAACATTCAAAATTACAAAACTGAAAAAGTGATTTTGTCTGGTTCTCACACTTATGACCATCACAGCATCCCCATGGTCATATGATCAAAATTTAGGCACTTGGCAAAACAACATGTATTTAAGATGATTCTAGCTTCTGAGGTTATGTGATCGCCATTTGTGACTTTCCTAGCTGGCTTCCAACAAGCAAAGTCAATGGGGAAAGCCAGACTCGTTTAACAACCACATGATTCACTTAACAACTATAGAGATTCACTCATGGCAAAATGGTTGTAAATTCAGGTACAACTCACTTAACAACCATATTGCTTAGCAGTGGAAATTTTGGGCCAGTTGTGGTCATAAGTCAAGAATTACCTGTATTTAAGTCTCCCATTCTGGTTCCAAAAATGAAATGTACAAATTATCTACAGTATATAGAGAATTTTTCTTTAAGCCAACTTTTGAAATGTAATCAAAATATGTACAGTACTCCCAATTGCTAATTGGTGCTGTTTGTTAACAGTGTAGTATTTATCAAAGAAACATAATTTTCTCTCCTTTCTGCAATTTGTCTACTCCCCAAATTTGCTTCAGAACATTGAGAACTCTTTGGAACAGATGGTAGGGACTGTTGGTGAGATAAAGAAAAAGTTTCATTGTATTTTTGCAGTACCATAGTTCTTAGTAACCGTTTTGATTTCTTAACACTTTGATGGCCTTCCTTGGTTAACTTATTAAGAATCTGTGTTTAATCTAAAATTTGGAATATAATTTTTCAGTTTTAAGTATATATTTCTGGTCAGTGTGTTTTCTTTCTGATTCAGATCAAACAGGAACAGATTTATATCAAAGACAGATAATTGTATAAAAGAATTCATGCATGTCATCAGTTGGAATTACAATTCTTATAAATATGTGAATTACAGTTGAGAATCAGTGTAATATACATTAGTGATTAAGAGGAAGACAGATTTAAATTCTAGTCCATTCTGAGTGACAGATGCCCACCAAATGACTATGTACTATTTGTTATTTCATAGTCCAAGGCTATTCCACAGTTTGCACTACAGTATATACTATCTTGAGGTCATAGGAAGAAGGCAGAATATACTTAGAAGCATAGGCATGCAAGTTTATGGAAGCTGTGCAGGAGACCCAAGGCCACACCCTTCTAGATTTGAGGTATAGATAATTGTCATGCCAGTGCCTTGAGTACTGGTAGGTTACATCCAGCTATGGCCTTTGAGTATACCCCTGTGTGAGAGACTGGGGAATGAAAGCAGACTGATCTTCAATGAGAATGTCCTAGGGAGTGGATTACAGTGTCTAAGGTTGGTGGGAAAGTCTCGGGATATCATGCTTGTTTCCACTTTGATTTTGTCCCTTTGGGGAGTAGAGAAAGGATTAGGTGCCTTGTGCAATCTCCAAACATCTGGAGTGCCACTTGAACACATCAGGAATTAACAAAATCACCATAAGTCAGTTGCAAAAGGCAGCTTTACTTGGAACAGCTTACATCCTGCAAGAAATCTGTATAACACCATCAAACATCCACATCTGCCCATCTCAGGTGGATAAAAAGAGCAAATCCAGTCTAAACATTGACTGATTATATAACCAACCATGATAATATAATAAATATAATTCCTTTTCCATTCAGTTCAGCATGTATCACATTTGAAATTTTGGTTAGCTGTGTTAAGCTTAATTGATTGTGAATTAATTAACTCCAAAGAAGATGACTTTTTCATGAGATAATTAATCTTTATGATAAATTTTAAATAGAGCAGCACAAGCCCAGGCAGATTTTCTAGATGTGCTTTTTGCAATTTAGACTAGGTTGACAGCCTTTTTTCATGTTAGATGAATTAGATGTCTAGAAATGTCTCTTTCTTATATTTATTTTGGCTTGGCAAAATACCGTTGTTATGACAGTAATATTTCACAGTCAAAAATGTTAATACTATCCATAAATTCAGCCCAGTGAGGAGCAAGAGATGCAATAAATCATTTTAAGTAATTGATGTTGATTGAATAAGATAAATGGTGCTTCAGGTAGTTATGACTTTATCATTTAACTTCATTGTAGCTGTTTAAAAATATTTTTTTAAAAGTTAATGCAGCATTTTGGGAACTACAATGTCATGTCAATAAGGACTAAATAACAATGACACTAAACTGTTCCACTACTGTGTATACAATATCTTTTTAGTGAAAGTCTTAATCAAAAGTGTTTTGAAACTTCAAGTAATCCTTGCCTATTACATATACCTATCATTTTGTATGAATAGCTTAAGGACCTGAAGAAAATATGTTAGCACACATATAACGGTAGCATAATACAAGATATAATTTGTTCAAGTGATATCCTCATAAATCTGTGAAACTAAAAATCTCCCGTATTTGAACTCAAATATTTCAAGAGCTTAACATTGAACACTGTTTACATGTTTATGATCTATACCTTTTTTAAAAGTAAAGAATGCATGTTAATATCCAATATATATTCCTGATCTAATAAATTTGGAATATATTATTAGAGAATATACTGATACCAAGAAAGTTGTGCCTGGATGGAATTGAGTTCCTTAAAAATAATTGAAAAGTTCAAAAAAATGAAGATTTGTGAATCGGGTGTCTAGAAATAGTGGAAGTGAAGATGGTCATTATAAAGACTTTTATCATTAGTAAACTGAATAATTTGGTATTACTTTTTTGGTTAACCTACTCTTCCATGGTTCCATTCATTATTCCATTTTTTAAAAAGTTAGATTTACTTAAGTTGGTTAAGTTGGTTATATATCACAAAATTAAAAACTTGTATTGAAAGAAGCATCCAGTTATTGCTGAAGTGCTAGAATTCCCCAAAACAATTTAGCCAAGATGTGTGGCTCCTTTTCTGAGAAGTCATATTATATTGATCATATCCTTGCAGACTTGTAAGATTTTATGCTTATACTATTTGATCGATTCATTGATTATATTTTGTAATGGTAATTGAACTTCAGCATAAAGTAAAATTTAACACATAGCATTTGTTGATTTCTAATGGTATTTGATAGGAGTTTTAAGTTTAGAATCCAGATTTATATTTAGGTCATGTGTGGATCCAGGGGTCATGTGACTTTGTCCAAGGAAATCTAGCTCTTTTCTAAATTCTAGATTGATTTGAATAGAATCTTATAGTTAGTATATTCTATATTTATTGGGAGACTGCCCAATACTCTGTAACTGAATGTTCTGATCAGTATGATAGTAAACAAAAAAATTAAAGAAGTTATTTTATAACCCAGATAATAATATTCATGGATACTTCTTATTCCTTGTTTTACAGGTTTTTCATTATTCTTATACAGCTTCATATGTGATATATAACATACAGACAAGGTAAGATAATGCTTGATAAATGTTGCTTTGAGTACTGAATGCTACAAATGTGTCCAAGTAAAGTGTTTACTTTTTTCAAGGGAAGTTTGGGAGTTAAATCCTCCAGAAGTAGAGGACTCAGTTTTACAGTATGCAGCATGGGGTGTGCAAGACCAGCAACTGGTAAGAAAAGTTTCCATGTTTATTTTATCAGCTGATAAACTTTAAAAAGCTAAGAGTAAGATAAAATCTAAATGAAATAGATTTTCTTATTTGGGATTTTTAAGTAATTATTCTGTGATTTTGTTTTCTACTTGATTTAAAATTTCTTATACAAATAAACAAACTAATCATAGGTTACTTAAAAAATTCTTGAGTGATTTATTGATGGATCAATTTATTGATGAATATAGCTGTCCCACTCATAGCAATGACTCTGGGTGTTATATCAAATTAAAACCAAATAATTAAACTAACAAAAAACAAACAAACCCATATGAAGAATGGTTCTTCACTGCTATCATGGGGTAACATGATAGCAGTATTCCAGTATTTAGGGGCTGTCATAAAAAAGAGGAGGTCAACTTATTTTCCAGAGCACCAGAAGGCAAGAGAAGAAACAATGGAAGGAAACTAATCAAAGAATCATCTTGTAATTAAGGAGAAACTTCCTAACAGTGAGGACAATTAATCAGCGGAACAGCTTGCCTTCAGAAGTTAGGTGCTTCATCACTGAAGGTTTTAAAGAAAAGACTGGACAGCCACCTATCTGAAATGGTATAGGGTCTCCTGCTTGAGCAAGGGGATGGACTAGAAGACCTCTAAGCTCCCTTCCAGCTCTATTCAGATTGACTAACAGGGCTCTGTATAGAATTTAGTGGTCTCTGAACTTGGTTGTTTGCTTGAGGATGTTTTGTTACCATATTAGGTGATATCTTCAGTGCCAGAAGAGAATGGGGTTTGCTTTCTATTTGTATACAGTAGCTTGCTTTATATCAGTGTGGCGGGGATGTTGCTTTCTTTTTGTTCCTTGACTAGGGTGTCATTTACTGCTTGACTGTTTACCTGAGTTGTTAGTTCCTTGATTAGGAATATATATTAGGAACATACATTACATTAGGAAAATACATCAGAAACATACCAACATGTAACATACTTAAAAATTTTACAAAAAAAGTTTAGACATCTCACCTAAGGGAGTGACTAGTCTAGCAATTCCCTGCCACAGTGTCTCCAGAAAATCAAAAACTTAAAAATAGAAGATACTATGTAGGATAACAGGGAGATGACTAGTAGCATGCATTCATCAATACCAACTAGCAGTCAGAAGACACAATAAAAATGCCTTAATTTCACAATAGATGAACAGACTTTCAACTGGGAAACTGTGAGCATTCTAGACCAAGCTAAATTCAAAATCACTAAGGAATTCCTGGAAGCCAGGAATCCACACCCAGGTAAGTACTGATTAACACCAGGATTAACATCAGACAAATAATCAAGCAATAAATAACAGTCTAATAAAGGAGAAAACAACACTGACAGGGCATCTACTGTATAGAAACTCAGAGCAAGTTCCACTCCTTCCTAGCATTGAAGATATTGCCTAGTCTGGTAATGAAATGTCTGTAATCAAATATCCAAGTTGAGAGAGCACCAAGTAATCCACAGTTCAATCTTTAGTGCAGTGGTTCTCAACCTTTTTAATGCCACGACCCCAACTGGTCGTAAGTCGAGGACTAAACCGGTTGTACGTCGAGGACTAAACTGGTCGTAAGTCGAGGACTAAACCAGTTGTAAGTCGAGGACTACCCAACCGGTCGTAAGTCGAGGACTTTCCCTGCCCGGGAGCGCCACGCATGTGTGGTTCCGCCCCCTGCGCCGGCTGAGGCGTAGCTGGCAAGCGGCAGAGACGGAGCAGGCCGACCACCAACTGGCCCAGCCCAAAGGAGGTAAGGCACCCGCCGGAAAAGGGGAAAAAATGGCAGACAAAAAAAATGGCGGACAAAAAAAATGGCGAACAGCCTTGCTTGGCAACCCCCGTGAAATGGTCGATCGACCCCAAATGGGGTCCCGACCCACAGGTTGAGAACCACTGCTTTAGTGACTTACTGAATACCATGATGATATTTGAGTTAAAGTCATGTGTATATTGATAATAACACACTTCAAATGGTCTGATAATCTTTCCCATAATTTCACAGAGATAACATGAGGACAAGATGAATTAATGAATCAGGATCGTTTTTGAAAGTGAGTTCTTGTTTAGAACTGGAATTCCAATTAAGTGATATTTCACAAGGGAAGAAAATAATTATCATTTTCTGCCAGGCAATCCAGAAAAATACTATAGCTAGTGGCATCAAATATTCCTGAGAATTCTTGCAGAAACAATAGGACATACATTTTATTTTTAAAAAAAACATAAAGAGAAAACAAAAATAAATACGTAGCTTTTAAATATAAGAGGAACTCAGTCTTGAAATTAAGATTCTTGGTATTTAACACTTTGAAAAAATGTATGATTCATTGTACTTTTTGGTCATAATATGGTAACAAAGTATATATACAAGTTCTTCTGTGGCAGAAAATTCTGCTAACAGTCCATGAAATCAAATATTTTAAGGATATGTTGATTCATCTGTTGTTAATCAAGTTGGCATGAATACTTAAATACTACTGGTAAGAATACATCTCGCTAAATAAGGGCAAAAAAGCAAAGCTGAAGTGAGAAGTAATTGCATCCATCTGGAACACGACTTGTACTTTTTGAATAATTAACTATACCAATTTATCAATAAATTCCAGCACAACAACAAAATGCCAGGCAAGAAATATTAGAATTATACACAGAGCAAGGCACTGTACTGTTTACCAAAAAAGCAAAATATCTATAAATGCTTCAAAATGTGTATTTTCCATAAGTTTGAATGTTTATTTCCCTGTGCAAAATTAATAGGCTACAACAGAACAAATATGTAATAATAATTACATTCCTAATGGATAGTTAGCATTTCTTCAACATATACCCTTTAAAAAACAATGGTAATATTCTTTAATAAAGGAATATTAGAAACAAGGAATATTTTAACTAATGTTCATATATAGAATGCTAAGCTCATATTTTCAATGTTCAAAATCAATAGAAATGGTTGTCCTAGTTGTAATAAAAATTAATAATTTGTGAGGGTGTAGTGGTCCCTTTCTCCAGTATTTTGCATTCATTTTGGTTAGTTGATTAGTGATAACTTATCATATCATAATGTCATAATGTGTGCCATGAAGAAGTAATTGATTGAACAATGCAGACAATTAGCTTTTATATATACACTTTGTTGAAAATTGGAGTTTGGCATAGAGAAATCTGTATTATTCAGTTCCTTATTTGTGCTGCAAAATGTATTATCACATTATTAATTAAGGAAGTTTTCATCTAATTATCAGCATAATAGATATGAATATTACATACCATAGTCATTAATATTTCTATGACCCTTCTGATGCATACCAGCATAGATTATCATCTATGTATAAAAAATACATAGGAATACATGTATAAAAAATACAGGAATTCAGTTCCTTTACAAGCATGTGTAAAATCAAAATATTGTTCCAGTGGCTTATTAGTAAAAAGAAAACGATATTTAATGTGTATGCAAGATTGTATATTTTATATGTCAGAAGATGTAGGAGAATTATTCCAATTTTGAGGCAGAAAAATTATTCTTATCCTTCTTACTATATGTTGAACAATTTCTGTGTAAGTTAAAACAGTAGATCTGTCCCTTTGTAAAAATCTGATAAAATTACAAACCTACTAAGACTGACATGTTTATACTATTAATTGTTAGCAAGACAGACTAATTACAGCAATGATTAGAGCTCTAATTAGATGCTTTAATCATTGACATCTGAAAGAGAGGAATTGGGTAGGTAAATGGTGAAACATACATCATCACACCACAACACAAGATACATATGTTACATGCTTCTGTGCAGCATCACAATCCATCTACAAAAGATCAAGATTTGTATCATGACATCATAACACAAGTTTTGCTCATTGTGGCCTGTATCAGTGTATCAAACACCTGTAGGCTAGAGGAATGATGGGGAAGGGGTCTGAATAAAATAAAATACCTCTCCTTACCGTGTGTGTGTGTGTGTGTGTGTGTGTGTATGTATATATATATGTCGGGACGAACGACGGGGACATTTGTTGCTGCCACTCCCTGCCCCACCTTCCATTTGCCTCAGCCCCCCCCCCTGAACTGAACCAACATCCAGGAGGACTGTTTCTTCCCCCTGTCCGGGCCTTTCTGCTGTGGGACTCTGGACTCTGGACTCTGGACTCAGTGAATAATCTGGGATGTACCTCAGGTCAGAGCTGCTGGCCCTGCGCGATTCCCCCCTCGCGCAGGTATGGCCCAATTTGACCTTAGGGGCCTGCCTCGATGACGGGGTATGGAGCCCCGAGAGGTGGTGTGCAGCCAAAGAAAC